CATACCACAAATAACAACTCAATCTCGTACAAGATCTGAGGGGTTTCTGTGTGTAAAAAAGGGCCCCTATGTTAACCTTCATTTTTGGTTAGGGGGCCATATGACTCTCTAAAACAAGGCACTGACAAAATCGCCATGATGTATGAAATCAACGACTTCAAAAAGACCGATAAATTTGGGGGTAGGGGACACTAAATTGGAGCTAGCTCAGCAAGTTGGGCATATTTTCCAACCTAACAACTCTTAAAATAAAGGTATTAGGTTCAGCTGTAAGATGAAATAATTGAATATCTGATTGGTTAGATGAGGTCATCAGAGGTCAAACTATAATTCTCTTAAAACAAATCATGAAATTAAACTGGGATGACTTCACAATAAGAAAAATATAGGATATAAAGGATTTAAGAATCCTAAAATCAATGCAACTAAAACCTGACATAAACAACAATGAAAGGTCAGGTACTCTGTATACGCTGAAATAATTTGCACAGTTACCCCACCCCCCCTAATCCACCCACACACTCCCTCACTCACAGGCGCCACCTACAACGGCCATCCAAGCATTCAAACTTTCGTACTGTGTGTACACACACACACACACACACACACACACACACACACACACCACACACACACACACAACACACACCACACACACACACACATATATATATATATATATATATATATATATATATATATATATATATATATATACATATATAATTTGGATTCCTCCGTGTATATTTAGATATCCTCTGAACTCCATGATAACAATATTTGGTCTAACTCATAACTTAATACAGTTATCTAGAGAAAAGTGGGGAAATATATTACCCATGTTTTGGGGGAAGAAGTTTACCCACACTGGGTAATAAATTTCTATGCAAAATTAGTGCCCCAAATTGTAAAAAAAGAAAAAAAATACCCCATACCCTGGGCAAGATATTTGCTCAAAAATAAAAGTTTTCCAACATCTTATTCGTAGTCTAGAAATTGTGATAAACACAAATAAGAAACTGACTCTTCATAAGTAATTAACCATGTATGCTATATTTTCTTTTCACTTATAGGCTGTACACACACACACACACACACACACACACACACACACACACACACACACACACACACACACACACACACACATACACACACATATATATTATATATATATATATATATATATATATATATATAATATATTATATAATATATACATTGATGTATATATAATATATTATATATATATATATATATATATATATATAATATATATTTATATATATATTATATATATATAAAATATATATTATATATATATAATAATATATAAATAAATAATAAATAGATATATATATAAATATATATATATATATATATATATATATATATACATATATACATACATATATATATATATAATATATATATATAATATTATTATATATATATAAATAGAAAAAAATATATATAAATAAATAAATAAATAATATATATATATAAATATATACATATACATACAAACATACATATAATATATATATATATATATAATATATATATATATATATATATATATATATATACATATATATATATATATATATATACATATATATATATATATATATATATATATATATATATATATATAATATATATATACATGTGTGTATATACATACATATATAATAATATATATATATATATATATATATATATTATATATATTATATATTATATATATATCAATGATGCTATTTACTGTATATCACAAATGCTATTCAGTTTCAGTTACTTACTCATGAATACATTCTGAAAACGTGATTTGCCTTTAAATTATCAAATTTGTAGGCACCATTCTTCTGCAAGTCAGGAGAACAAGGCCCCATGAAGAAGTACTCTACGTCTACCATGTGTTTTTCCTCTGCAAGAAGCCACTGCCATGTTATCTTGCGGTGTAGAAATGTCATTTCAACTTTGTTTATTGGTAGTTCATCATCAATACTGTACACTTTCGTTTCTTTGGTTCAGTATAAATCATAGAAAATTTATTTGTTGACAGAATCATTATCACCTTTCACTGATGGTGCTACATCTCGTTCTTTAGTTGATCCTGACACCTACATCTGTTTCTGCAGTAGCCTCGTCTCCACTTTCATTGTCACTCGGCAGGATCATGTCCAAACTCACATCCAGAGATTAACCACTAGAATCTCCTGAAAAATGGCTCACACCTGATATGCTGAATAAATCATCAGTATCATCAACAGCTTGCCTTTTTCCCCTTTTCAGAGCTTTGGCCTTCTTTTTCTTGTTGTTTCTTCTCTGCTTTTTGTTTCTTCTTCTTTTTCCTTCAGTACATTCTCTACTTCCTCAATGCAGCTCATTACTTCCTCGTGTGTTAGAACTGTAGCCCCTTTTCCAAATACTCTGCGACCACCAGGTATCTTGGTTGTCGGTCCGATATGATCTGTTCCGTGGACTTCATGGTTTATTTGGTTTGTGCCAATTGACTCTACAAGCTCTTGAAAACTGTGAAGGTGTAAACAGCATGAATGGCTATGACACACCTATGATGATTTTCAGATGGAATTGTGTTGTCCAACACTATAGATTAGCATGAAGAGGGATTCACTACATTAGGTAAAGGTGTACTTGTTCTCATGAGGGGTCTACTATGTCTAGCGTTCGAGATACTTGGCATGATGTCCAATTCTGCATCCTTTTGTTGAGAAGGTGATACAATAGGAATGCTTTCCTCATTCATAGGTTTACCAGCAAGGATTCACCGATTGTACGCTTCCACCTTTGACCTGTTGAGCCGTGATTCATCAAAATAAATGATGAAAGGATCACTTTCCCTTTCCTTTCTATCTATTTGCACATTTTCAGTCGTAATTCGTGGCGTTACATGAAGTATGGGCCCATTCATTTTCTTCAACAATTATTTAACACGGATGAAAAGTTCTTCCCTAAGTATGGGGGCAAAAATTCTACTAGCTGGATAAAAACAATTGCCGCGAATTTCTTGGGGTATATATATATATATATATATATATATATATATATATATATATATATATATATATGTATATTTATATATATATATATGTATATATTACATATATAAACGTATATATATATATATATATATATAATATATATATATATATAATATATTATAATATATAATATATTATATATATATATATATATATAATATATATATATATATATATATATATATATATATATATAATATATATATTACATATGTTCGACACGTCTGTGGCAAGGTTACAGATGTATCTACTGGCAGCCTCTATCTTTACCGTAGAGTTATATGTCATCCTTGCAGCATTCAAAATTAATATAAACCATTCTGTTGTAATATCGTGCGACTCTCGTAGTAAGCAATCAAGGGCTTTAAGTCATCACATACTGTGGTAAAGGAGGCTCGAGATTGGCCTGCAGTGAAGGCAGCACGTAAGAAGATTACTCTGTGTTGGGTGCCAGGGCATGTTGGTATCCACAGGAATGATCGAGCTGATTGGAGGGCCAAAGCTGCTGCCGATCTGCCCTGTGATGTTCGTTTGTCTCTCCCGCACACCGACTTGAAACCCAGCATCAGAAGTTGTCCCCGTGATAAATGGAGGGAGCAATGAAGGCATACCCTCTAAAAGCAAACTACGAGAGATTAGAGATGATCTTGGCAGTTGGGCGTCCATCCCAACCGACAAGTCGAAGTCGTGTTATCAAGGCTGAGAATCGGATACACAAGATTGACTCATGGGCCGATGGTGGCTAGAAGAGAAGTACGTTGTGAGGGATGCCAAGAGTTATTATCGGTTGCACTGTTGTGGAAAGATGTGCAGCATCCCCAGACCAAAGGCATAAATACTTGTCTAACCCTTATTCACTGAAAAGTGTATTGGGAGAGGATTCCTACAGGAATTGAACTATGCATGATATTTATCCATTTTATACTTTTGAACCATAATATCTGTTAACAAAATCTAATTATGCATAATATTTTTTAGATAATTTTATACCTTTAAAGCACGAAATTTACCTTTAGCAGGATATTTATTGCTATCTATTTTTACTTACAAGACGTTATTACATCATAGATTTTTAAAGCGTTTAAATCACATGAACTTTTTAATCCCACACGGTATTCGCCGCTAATGACAGCTATTGACATGGCAGGTGATTTTAGATAATGTCAGTCATCCCGATTTCCTTGTTTTATTCAAAAGAGTAATAATAATAATGATCAATTTAATTCCATTTGTTATAACGGTCTCTATTTTGTTTCTAATTACCCCCTGCAATGGCAGGGGTTATCTTCCACTGCCGACGTGGGACTTGATCGCGGGTCAGCAAGATTGCTAGACGTGAGCGCTGTGCCACACAGCATAATAGAAAAAGATTTTTCTTAAATGTGGAAAATTCTCGTAGTAAAGGGAACTTACTTTGTCCTTCTGATGTATGGGTCAGGTCATTCTCAGCATCAATGTCATTATTATTGCATCTATTTCTATTATCATATTATCATTCTTATTAATACAAATATCATCATTATTACTGTTGAGGTATAGTTAATGATAGCTTCCCTCCATTTTCTAATTCTCAAATATGGCAGACTATTGACCATATACACAGTGCTATTCAAATTTGCAAACAGAAATTTCCCTTTTGGATAATGGCTCATGTTTTTAGACCGGCAAATAGTAAAACAATTAAAGGTAATTTTGATAATGATTATAGCTAGGGCAACCACTTTTTCTATAATCCCTAAGGTAAGTACTCTTGACATTATTATTATTTTTTTAGATAAGCTTTGACACAGTTAGGCCTAGGAGACACAATAATTTCAGCTTAAGTATTAGTGCTCGTTACTCATGCATACATATGATACAGTTATGTATACATGCAAGTTTGTATATATAGTTATTTTTGTGTATGTGATAAAGATAGGAATATAATGCTACTTTGACATTTTTTACCATTTATTGTAATAGAGAAGTGAATCATACAATGGCAATAAATGCTGCTCATGGTATGGTTATCTTCAGTCATGTGCACGGTCCAAAACCCCATAAAGAATAATTAAGACGTGAAGAATAACGTTTAAATCTTCACCTACTAGTTAACAAAAGATGTACGAGCGCGATGTTGCTCCTTGCTGTAACAGGCACTTTCATCCTGCATGCAGTACTCAGGTTGGAGAGGGTCAGCTCGAATACCACGGGAGACCATCCTTGTACGTTGAATATTGAGTCTCTTTTGAGTAAAGCCAGCATCAAGGAAGGAACTGTCGGTAGGGTCAGTCCAAAGCCTCTCGGCAAAGGCGGAGAGCCGAGGCCAGATTTTAGACTGGAGACCATTGTTGTCGACTTCATGACTCTGAAGGGTTGCTTCTCCTCCAAGGACAAGGTCCCTTAGCTTACTGGATTGCTGGTTGTCAACAAGGTCAGACCGAGCATTGCTGATTCCTTGATCAGAGAGAATATCAAGAGGACTGTTACGGTAGAAGCTTTCCCATGTGGGTGTTTCTTGAGGGCAGTCATTAGCCTTCTCACCTATCCAGGAACTGGTTACGCAGTCTAAATTCCACTGGTCTTGATTGGAGAAAATTACTTTGTATCCATTGTTGATATAGTCAGCTATTGCGGTATCAGCAGCATTTTCATTTAGCTGGATAATGTATGCATCTTTGTTGACGTAGTTGCGAGCAAACGAGGAGGAATGAATAATGGGTGTGACTTGGCGTCCCTGAGCGGCTTCCTGGAGGCTGTTGAAAGCACTGCTCTGGTAGGTGTTCCACAGCTCAAAATACTCGCGGCTTGTGGATTCACGCTTGTTTTGGGAGAGATACTGCTGGATCTCCTCAGAAGACTGCCAGCACTTGAAACTTACCTGGGAAATGAAAGAAATGTAAATAATGCGAAAAAATTATCATTACTGAGATTAAGACACCAGTAAAAGCATGGGGATATCTCAGTAGTAATTCGATACTCACATCGTCACCGCCCATGTGCACCATCTCAGGGTCAAAGTAATCCATGAGGTCGCGGTACAGCTCGCCAAGGATCGGGTAGACCTCTGGGTTGATTGGGTTGATCTGTCCTGATGGAGGCTCCTTGCTCAGCTCAAACCATGGCTCATTCTTCAAAGAAAGCGTTATTTCTGATAATTTACTGATCAGAAAAATAGTATGTGTAACATAACACATCCACCACACGCAGATAAATGCCGACAAAGCAACAGGACAAAAATTACTCCTTACCGAGTCTGTGCAGAGAGCTAGCTTGCCCTTGCCCTCCTTTTGGGCCCACTGCCAGCCAGCAGCGTTATGTGCAGGTCCGCCTATCTCGGGGATCACAGAGATACCACGGAGCTACGGAGAACCAGAGGCCAATTAGACAGAAAACAGGTCCACCTGTCCATTTGATTTAGGGCAAACAATACTTTCAGAGTAAATCTTCTCTCGTGGAAGTACTGATCCTTGGGTACCTAAATCCTAAGCATCTCTCATTGTGTAGTCATATATTAATTCAATATGAGAAAATAAAATGCCCATAAATCTTACGTTGGCATATTCGACGATTTCTCTGATATCCTCAGGATAGTACACCTTTCTAGCGTCATAGGCGCCATAGTAATGTCATCTTTGGAACACGGTTAGAGTACATCGGGAAGGAGGCGGCGTCGTTGATGTGCCAGTGGAAGTAGTTCATCTTGTTGTAAGCCATAGAGTCAAGGAGTTTTCATGAGGTTCTTCCTTGGGGTAGAAATTGCGACCAGTGCCAGCATGAACCCACGATACCTGCGGAAACCAACAACCTTTACTCCTGCAATCCACATCATCTATAGCAGAGTAAGGTGCTGGTTTTAGCATTGATTGTTTAATAAATAGTTGAGGAAAGGGAGTCCTTTACCTGAAGCTCGGAGCATCTTGAATCTGAGCATCACGGCGACTTGCACCGCATTATTGATGTCATCGTAAGCGATGAGTTGGGAGAGCGTCTCCAGAGCATGGCGGGCACCATAGTAGGTAGAAGCTAAGATGGTCGCGGTAGTTTCATCTCCCACAGTCTGTCGAAAGGAATGACATTTATTAATTGAGGATTTAGACAGATAAGGTTACAAATTTATTTTTTCAGAAAGGTCATTGTAAGAATTCTCAAGTATCTTTGCCGCATGAAGAAGGAGCTTTACCTGAATGACCAGATTGTAACTCTCGTCAGTATCGAGCCTGAGCTTGTGATCAGAGGCGGTGACAGTGATCTCGATGTTGACATTGTGGCTTTCTACTCCAGGGTTGCTGCGTTTCCGCAGGAAAGGCGACCTTCGGATGAAACTCTCGGGTTCTTCCCTGCTGTACCTAGGTCGCTGGCGCAGCTGATTCCTGTCATACTCGGACCTTTGACGGTACTGCTCTTGCTGGGCAGGGTCTTCATTCTGGAACTAAATTGGTCTTGATGTGGA